ATTTAAATTTTAATTTATTCTTATTTTATGTGTATGAATGTTTTGCCTACATGTATGTAAGTGCATCCATGTTATGCAATACATGGAGGCAGTAACTTCCTGTGGAGGAAGTTATTGATAATTGTTAGCCACACGTGGGTGCTGGGAACTGAACCTAGGTCCTCTGCAAAAGCAGTCAGTGCTCCTAACTTCTGAGCCATTTGTCCAGCCCCTATATAAATTTTAGATAGTTAATTATTGTATATACTTTAAAGTGTACCATGTGATACTATAGTCAAGCTAATACCCATTCTATACTGTCATCTAGTGTATGGTAATATCCCCTAAAGTGCACTCTTGGCAAATTTCCAATATACAGTACAATATAGTTCGCTAAAGGCTCCTACTGCACCTTAGAACTAAAGATTTATTTATCCTATATAACTACAGATTCATACCCCTTTGCCCCATCTCTCCATTTCTGTTGCCCCTGTAAACAGTTGTTTTCTGTTTCTATTTGAGAGTTTTTTCAGATCTCAAATATGTATAAGATCATGTAGTAGTTTTGTTTCTATGTGTGGTTTATTTCACCCAGCATAAGGCCTTCTGGATTCATCATTGCTTCACAAATTATAAGATCTCCTTAGGACTGGATACTATTCCACTGTGTTTATATATACATATATCACAGTTTATCCATTTGTCTAGTGTTAGACCTTTTTTTTTTCATATTTTGACTTCTGTGGATAATGCTACAATTAATATAGGAAGGGTGATATTAAATTTTAATTAGTGAGGCTGGAGAGATGGCTCAGCGGTTAAGAGCACTGATTGCTCTTGCAGAGGATCCAGGTTCCATTCCCAGCACCCACATGGCAGCTATGAACCGTCCTTAACTCCAGTTCCAGGGGAATCCGAAGCCCTCTTCTGACCTCCTCGGCATTGCACAACACGGGCGCACTCACATACATGTAGGCAATACACTCATACACATAAAATAAAAATAATAAATAAAATATTAAACGTGCATATGGGTACACATAACCAGTGGTGTGAGTATGGAGATCAGAGGACAACTTGGCAGAATTTGGTACTCTCACCATATAGGTCCTGGGGATTCAACTCAGGTCATCAGTTTGATAGCAGACCCCTTTACCTGCTGAGCCTCTGACTGGTCCCTAATTTTAAAAGGGATTTTTATATCTGGTATGCCAGGTGTGGTGACACATCCCTTTAATCCCAACACTTGGGAGGCCAAAGCAGGCAGATCTCTGTGAGATCAAGACCAGCCTGGTCTGCATAGCCAGTTCCAGGCCAGCTGTGGCTACAGGGAGACCTTGAATAAAAAACAAAACAAAACAATGCTGGGCATGGTGGCACATGCCTTTAGTCCCAACACCTGGGAGGTAGGGGCAGGCAGATCACCCAGGCCAGTCTGGTGTATATAGTAATGCCAGGCCAGCTTGGGCTTCAGGAGACCCTGTCTCAAAAGCCCGCCCCCCCAAAAAAAAAGAGAAAGAAAAAAAAAGTTGTTCCATTTATTTATTTATTTATTTATTTATTCATTCATTCATTCATTCATTCATTTATTTCTATGTGTGTTACTCAGGATTGCTTTGGTTGTTTAAGATCTTTTATGGTTCCAACAAATTGCTTTAAATTTTAGATATCTTTCTTTTTCATTCTAGGCTTGAGAATTTTCTAGTCTTACTTATAATTATTAATCAATTAGTTATATTAACTACTAAAGCAAAACATACCTATGTCAAATTCAAATATTTATTCAAAAGTACATAATGTGTGAGAGGGCTAGCTTGGTGGTGGAGTACATACCAAGCATGCACAAAGCCTGGGCTTGGGCCCCAGCACAAAACATTAAGAAGAATTTCATCTTTTAGTACCTACTGCTCTTCACTCACTCAGGGCAAGCACTGTTAAATGTTCGGTCAGTAGCTCTTCAGACCGTCCTCTTGAATTTATAAATGAACAATTGTATTTACATGTAAAGATACAGAAGTGGGATTTTTCTGTACTGATAAACTCATGGTATGTATATTAATCACTCTTCCACTTAGAAGCATTTCATAGACTTTTTTTCCATGCATTGCTGTCTGTAGATCAAAAAGCTTATTTTAGATTTTCTTCTTTATTCTACCCTCTAAATTATCTTGCTTTTCTGAAAAATCCATCTCATCATTTCTGCATCCTTCATCCCTTACTTATCTACCATGCTTTTATGGTCTGACCATGAAACAGAGATGAGCTCAAAGTGTGTTGATGATGTCTTGCCTACCTACTTGTCTTTCAGAACTGGTTGGGTTACACCAAGAAGAGAGCACCCATTGGGTTCCATCGAGTTGTGGAAATTTTGTACAAAAACAGTGCCCCAGTCCAGGTAATGGTATAAAAGAGAGTTAGGTCTAGAAGACCTAACTTTTAGCCTCCTTTTGTTCAGTGATGGGGACCTGACCTGTTGTCATTTTCCCTGAATGGTAGCATTGTGGCTGTGTTGGGCTTTGAGGTAGAAAAGACCAGGGAGGGGCATTCCCTTTGCAAGTAATCTCAGACTATCTCTGAGGAACAGGTACTGTGCTTAGCCATATAGAGAACTACTGCACTGTTCAGATGATTCAAAAGCAGTGCCTGTGGGCAAGGACACTGTGGAGCTGTGGGCATGCCCAGGATCAGCTGTAGAGCACTGCCTTGTGGCATGTCTGCAGGGTCCGGAGAACTACGCTCTTCCCTTCTCTGCTGGACAGCAGGGAAGTGCTGCCTAGTATCACCTCATTTCCCACTCCAATTGTAGACACTGGTATTGAACTCTCCTTTAGAACTTGCTACTTATAGAGCTCTGTGTGATTGTGGGGCCAGAATCATTAATTGGAAGTACTTTTTCCTACAGATATTGCAGGAGTATGTCAATCTGGTAGAAGATGTGGATACAAAGTTGAACTTAGCCACTAAGTTCAAGTGCCATGATGTTGTCATTGATGTGAGTCATCATAAAGTGAGAACCCTGAGCTAGGTCCTGGGTGATGGGTCAGGGATAACATTTGCCCCAGATCCTGAAATACTGCCATCAGTTTTCACTAGTGGACAAACCAGCCTGGCAGGAATTTGTTTGGAGCCCAACACTCCTGTATTCATCCCCAGTCCTCTGAATGGATTCTCTCAGCTTTTATAATTGGCTACATTTGGAGTCATCAGAACTGAACAAGTTATACAAGTTCTGTGGACGTCTCTCCAATGTGGGGTTCTGTGGGTGCTTGTACACCCATTATTACTATAGTCTCTTAGCCTTTCCTTGAGCCCGGGATACAAGTAATAGTAGCAAAAATAGAGAGCCCCTCATAGACAATGATGAATAGGACTTTGATTATTTTTGCTATACAGACCTACCGAGACCTGAAAGACCGGCAGCTGTTGCTTGCATACAGGAGCAAGGTAGATAAAGGATCTGCTGAGGAAGAGAAAATTGACATCATTCTCAGCAGCTCAGTAAGTAGCTGTACTTACCCTCCAGTGGGCCTAGGAGACCATTCACAAAGTAACATCAAGCATATGCTTCCCAAACCTGAGCAAAGACACTTGACTGAGCCATGTGGGTATAAGGCTCACCTATGGGCTAAAATACCAGAAGTACTGCTTTTTTTTTTGGGGGGGGGGTGTCTTTTTGAGACAGGGTCTCCCTGTAGCCCCAGCTGGCCTAGCGCTCACTTTGTAAGACCAGGCTGGCCTTGAACTCATAAGAGATTCACCTGCCTTTGCCTCCCAAACTCTGGGATTAAAGGTGTGTGCCACCACACCCAGCCTGTATTACTTTGCTTTTTGTTTATTTTTATTAGAATTTTTTTTTTGCATTTTTATTTAATTTTATGTCTGTAAGTGTTTTGCTTGCAGACCCTGGTCCTTACTGAGCCATCTCTTCAGATCCAAAAATACTACTTTGAATAGCAGAAATTATTCCTGAGATGTGAAGTGATAGACCTCAGGATGAGGCTTAACTATAGCATGCTGATCATTGTTAAACCTAGCAGATAGTGGAAGCTACCTGCTGGAACTACAAAGCACATGCTACAAATTCAATATCCAGGCTGTATGATTTCTCCTGGATGTGGATGTGACCTACCTGTTGTAAATAAGAAGTAGATGAAGTAGGTTTAGCTGTTAGGGAACTCCATCTGGTTATCTCTCATAGTATGAAATCACTGAGCTTTTTGTTAACATGGAACCTAGTTTTCCTATTAGATATTTTGCCATCTGTGCTTGATCACTGAGTACTAGTGAATCTTGGCCCTAAGAAGGGCAAAATCAGACAAATGCTCTAAATCAGGCAATCTGGGAAATACAGGATAGTTATTTAATCTATCTCTGAATAAATCAACTCCCCACATACTCAAAAACTTCTTGGGACTGGGGAGATAGCTTGGTCTATAAAATGCTTGCCATTGCAAGCATGAGAATCAGAGTTTAATCCCTAGCACTCACATAAAAGCTGGGCATGCTGGCATATGCTTATAATCCTAGTGCTAGGGAGGCAGAGACATGCAGATCCCTGGGGCTTACTGACCAGCTGTCTTAGACTAATCAACAAGTTCCAGGGCAGTGAGAGACCCTGTCTCAAAAAACAGGGTGGATGGCACCTGAGGAATGATAACCGAGGTTGACCTCTGTCCTTAGCACGTGCCTGTGCACGCACATGCATGTACGTACACACACACACACACTTAAAAGAAAATTGTTTGCTGGCACATGCGTATAATCCCAGCACTTGAGAGACTGAGGCAAGAGGCTCGAGAGTTTGAGGGTTTGAGGCTGACCTGGGATACACACTTGAGTTCCAGGCCAAAATGGACTATATAGAGAGACTGTCTCAAATAAATGAGCAAAACTCAAAACTCTTGACAGCTCCCTACCCAGTCCTTATTTTCACTTTGCTGTAGTGATAGGTGAAAATGGATCATATCATCGTTTGCTTTTTCCACAGCAAGTTCGATGGAAGAATTAATGTCATTCATTACCCTGAAACCTGCCTCACTCCTTACTTTTCTGCCTGTGAAAATAGAGAGGTCTCTCTTCTTGGGAGAGTCACAGCATCATACTACTTAAGCCTGTCATTCACAGGCAGTGCCTGCTGCTTTGGGGACAGAAACCAGCACCTGGACTGATCTGTTCACGGGACATTATCTGAAGGCCAGTATCTAAAGCTTTGACTCATGAGAAAGATGCTCTCTCCCTGGTGCTCACGTGAAGGTGGGAGCCTGTCCTGGGTAAGATGGCTCTTGGTTAGAGAAAAGTGACTGTTCCAGAAAGGACATCTGGATGAGAGGTACAGGTGCCAGAGGGTGGTTGCTCCACTCCTCTCAGCTAATTATGATCCAGGACCTTGTGTTGGCATTTCTGCTCTTAAGGAAATCAGAACAGAAACAAAATGGCTTTTCAAGGGGCCTCAGGAAAGGGTACAGGTATGTTAGGACCAGCTGGAAACCAGACTCAGATTCTCAAACCTGCCTGCCCAGGGCTGCACAAGTTATGACAGACATTTCCTGGACATTGTGTTTCTTCAGTATCTATCTGCTGTTTCTGTCAACTTTTTGTTCATAACAAGGTTCTTTTCTCACTGCATATGGAGATGACCTGTTTGGGTCTGTCTGACTCACAGTCTTATATGGAGCTTAGATTCACCGGTGCTGGAGAGCTCTTCTTCTAGGCAAAAAAGTCTCATTTCAGTAGAAGCATCACCAGTTTCACCTGGCTAAATTTGGTAGCACTTCTGCTAAGATATTTAGAGGGAGGTTTTATTTTCACACCTGACTTTAAGTGGACTTCTGCAATGTTAGATTCTGCTCTGTACCAGTATCAGCCTCCCTTCTGCAAGTGAACTGGATGTTCCTGACATGCCTACACTCATAATAAAGCTGTTTCATCCTTGGTGCCTTCTCGTCCCCACCTGGTTGCTTTGTGCAGAATGGTGAAGTAATTGTCCAATGTCTTATCTGCATCTGTGACTGTATCAGCAGCCTGTCAGGCTGTCACATTATGGAGTGACAGTGCTTACAGCAAAGGACTGTGTGATTAACAGAACACTAAGCCAAGAGACAGAAGACCCAACTTCTCTCACCCCTGCTACTGACAAACTGTGGTGCTGGTGAAGTCCCTTTTTCTGTGGACTCAGGTCATCTATAAAATAAGAGGGTCATAATCTGTGTAAGGTTCTATACTCATGACAAGTCTGTGAAGCGGTAGGAGGAAAACAGGTAATGCACACAGCATGCTCTAGTCTAAGGCAGTGTGCCTCTCAGTTGGAGACAGTTTTGCCCCTCAGGAGACATTTGGCAGTGTCTGAAGGCACTTTTTATCACCACACTTGGGGGTGTGCTGCTACATATCCTGTAATGCGTGGTACAGCGCCCCACAGCAAAGAATTATACTGCTTAAAACATTAGTAACGCCAGTGTTAAGAAACCCTACTTTAGGGGTAGAAAGAAGGCTCAGTGGGTACAAACACTCGCCACCCAGCTTAAGACCTGAGTTTGATCTCTGGGACCTACATGGCATAAGGAGAGAACTGACTCCTTCCAGTTGTCTTCTGATCTCATGTGCATCATGGTGTACACACACACTGAATAAATGTAGAAGGAAAAGAACAACCTTGCTTGCTCGATTCCATCTTTTGCTCATCCATTTTACACTCAACTATAATCCAGGTAACCTCATACTTCCAGAGATACTTTCCAGAGTATCTTTTTTGCTGTTGAACTAATGGGCTTAAATTGCTAGTTTGGGCCTATGTTATTGGCTCATCTCCATACAAACAGTAGTAACCTGATTAACTTGTAGGTCAGACTTCAGTAAAGAAGCAGCATATGTGTTATCTGATCTCCCTGTAATTTGTTACAGGACCTTGACCCAAGTCAAGATGGCAGCTAAATATTCTGTATAAAGTGATTGTCTTCATGTCTCGTGGTAGAATTTGAAATTCATAGGGCAGGGAGGCAGAATGGATATAAAGGAGATGGTAGCAGGGACAGGCTCAAACCCATGGTTACCGACTAAGACCCACGGTGGTTGCAGTGATAGCCTGCCGAAGCTGGTAGCCTTTGTCATAGAGTTGAAAAAGACCTGTCCCTGGAGTAAGCAGCTGAAGGAGGATCCAGGAGAAGGTGTAGCCGTTACAGATCTACTGTGGTGCTCCACCAAGGCAGCCAGCAGATACGTAATGGTATGTGTACTGCAGAGGTGCCCGTCTTAGCCTTGCAAGCTGAGATGGAAACTGGTTTCCATTTCCTTTCCACATTCCAAATTCTTCATAAAAATCCCCCATGTTTAACTCTAATCAGAAACACAAAAGGTAGAACATTCTGAAAAAGATAGTTCAGTCTGGCTAAGTTGTCATGTTATAAAGCTCTTAACACTGAATCCCCATTTTTGAGACTGTATAAATAAAGGAAATACTTAGGATTTCTATGTCTGTGCAGCCGAATGGGTGCTGTGCTGGTTGTGCAGCTCTGGCAAGCTTTGAGTTCCTCCTTCCTTTGTAGCAGGAATCATCATTTGCAATATTAGGATGACCTGGCACTGTCTTGGTACAAGGAAGTGTTCCTTAGGTTTGAGAAGAACTTCCATGATCACTGTAAGTGCTGGGGACTTCACTTTCAAGGGTACTAGATGTGACATGGTAGCCTTTCCTGTAACAGAGAATTCGAGAGAAGCCAGGCATGAAAGGTCACATACTATATAATTTCATTATTTTTTAACTTCTGAAATAGGTAGATCATACACAGAAAGCATATTGGTGGTTCCAGGGTGTCAGAGATGGGGAGTGATTGGGAGGAATTGCTTAATGTGAATAGGGTTTCTTCCTCTGGGGTATGAATGAACTAATTGTTCATTTTAAAGTGAGTAATTTTATGTTATGTGACTTTCACCTCAGTTTTTTGTTTTTAAGTCTAGTAAGATTTAGAGACTATGAAGTTTTATAAAATTGATTTTCTTATAAAATTGAAGTTTCTATAAAATTGATTATTGAACATAAAAAGAAGGGCTTGGAAAGATAGGTAGTGCCAAGGGCTAGAGGTACAGCTCAGTGTGGTAGAGTCCTTGCCTAGCAGATGCAAGGCCTTGGGTTTGGTCCTCAGCACTGCAAGTTTCCTTTTCTGGGTGTTGTGGTACATTCCTATAGTCTCAACTCTGAAAGAGACAAAATCGGGAGGATCACAAGTTTTTGGCCAGCTTGGGTAATTTAATGAGATAACTATCTTAAAAATTGGCTGGGATATAGCTCAGTAATAGAATACTTGCCCAGCATGCACAGGTCCTGGTTCAATCAATCCCAGGTACTGAGAAGAAGAAAAATAATATCTAGCTTTGTTGTTGTTTGAATTTTAATTTTATTTTAAAAATATTTTTATCGAGGGGCTGGAGAAATGGCTCAGCAGTTAAGAGCCCTGGCTGCTCTTGCAGAGGACCTGGGTTTGATTTCCAGCACCCACAGGCAGCTAACAACCATCTGTAACTCCAGTTCCTGGGGATCTGACACCCTTTTCTGACCTCTGCAGGCACTGCACAGCATGAGCGCACTTACATGTAGGCAGTTCACTAATAAAATAACAATAAAAAATATTTTTATAGAGTTTTCATACATTCCATATAATCTTAATCAGATTTAAATCCCCTCCCATATCTGTGGCCTCATACTCCTGTTGTTTTAAATTTTAAAAAAATTATGTGTATGAGTGTTTTGCCTGCACATATGTAAGTGCACTACATGCATGCAGTACTCACAGAGGCCAGAAAAAGGCATTCAGTCACTTTGGAACTAGAGTTAAAGTTAGTTGTGAATTGCCATGTGGGTGCTGGGAAATTGAACCCAGGTCTTCTGCAAAAGCACTAGTGTTCTTAATCACTGAGCTATCTCTCTGGTCCATTGTTTTTAATTAAAAAAAAAATAGGAGCTGGAGAGATGGTTCAGCAATTAAGAACACTGGCTGTTCTTGCAGAAGACACGGGTTAAAATCCCAGCACCCACATGGCAGCTAACAGCTGTCCTTAACTCCAGTTCCAAGGGGATCCGACAGCCTTTTTTCTCCTCTGCAGGCGTTGCACGACATGGGTGCACTTACCTACATGCAGGCAATACACACATACACATAAAAATAAATAAAATATTAAAAAATAAATTTAGGAGCTGGAGAGATAACTCATTGGTTAAGAATACTTGCTGCTTTGCAGAGGACCCAGATTCTGTTCCCAGCACCTATGTGGTAGCTAGCATCCCAATTCTAAGGGATCAAATACCCTCTTCTGGTCTCCAAGGTCATTGCATGTACATGATACACTTAAATACATGGAGGCAAAATACTCATATACATAAAAAATAAATTTTAGGGGCTGGAGAGATGGCTCAGTGGTTAAGAACACTGGTTGTTCTTGCAGAAGACCTGGGTTTGAATCCCAGCACCCACACAGCAGCTAACAACTGTCTATAACTCTAGTCCCAGGGGATCCAACAGCCTCTTCTGACCTCCGCAGGCATTGCACAACATGGATGTACTTGCCTACATACAGGCAATACGTGTATACACATAAAAATTAAAATAAATTTTAAAAACTTTAATAGGGTATGTGTATGCACATGTATGCATGTGCCACAGCATATACATGGATGTCAAAGGACAACTTTACAGAGTTGAACCTTTCTACCTTTCAGTGGGTTCTGGGGATTAAATTTAGGTCATGAGGCTTGCAGAGCAAACTCTACCTACTAAACCATCATGCCAGTCTTGGTTTGTTTTTAAGAAGAGCTAAGATCTGTATGATACTCCAGTCTTCAAGAAAAAAATGGAAATCCAGAATCTTTTGTTGGGAAAAAGAAGGTCCCATACTGGTATAACATTCCTATAAATAGTGAAAGGAACTTGTGTCCTTTCAGGCCAGGGAAACTTGTAGGTAGGGCTGGCTCCTTTAAGACCAGAGACTAAAGTGATCTGGTAGCTAAGGAGTCATAATGGTAACTTTCTTGGGTGGCTGGCACATATGTAGTTTTTACCTGCCTGGACCAGAAGTACCAAAGAATAGTTGGTTGGTGAGAGGTGTATGTGGGTGGATTTATACATGTTTGGGCTTATTTTATAAGATCTGAATATCCATGCTCTAAATAAGGGATTTGTGATTCTCAGTTTGGGCTCTTTAGTACCCTAGGTAGAACTCAAGGTTTAGTGAAAATTGAGACTTTCTTTAAAATGAGGTATTCTGTGGTCAGTAAATTTTCTAAACCCAGAGAATGGAAGGGAAAAGCTCTTGGCCAAGAATACCTCTGAAACCCTTGCTAATGTAACTTCTGTTCAAAAAAACACTTGTAGCATGTGTGGATAAATATTATTGTCAATTCCTTTTCAGGTTTTCATGAATCCAGAATTCATAAGCAGTAGTGATCAGGGACCCTCAGTGGTCTCACTCAAACAGAGATGTGAGTTCCAAGTTCAGAACCTGGAAGGACAGTGGTGCTGACACCCACCACCATGAGTATTTGTGACCTAATCACACATACCATCGCATAGATGAGTGCAGGGTACCAGACTGATCGGTGTCTGTCACTGCAGGAGACAGTGGCTTGGAAATGGATTTACTGGAGGGCCTTGAGTCCCTGAAGTTTGAGTATGGGATTCCAGAGGAAGAGCATTACTGGCTGTATTTGCAGAGACGTTATCGGGGACTGATGATTGAAGGCTGTGCCCATGCAGTCTTCTTCTGCAAGCTGTTGTGTAATTTGAGGTAAGCTAGGCTTCCAAGTTGAAGATAAGTGTCTCACTCCTGGGAATCCTATGGTAGAGGTTAATTTGGCAGGAAAATAGTTTTCCTACCTTTCTAATCCACATTCAATCACTTCTGGTCTGCAGGGACTAGCAAAATTTACACCAGAGTGTCTTGGCTGTTTTACATGGTTAAGCATGGATTGGTGATGGTTTCTATTCAGAGGGTGAGCTGATTTATTTCATTTATTCATGCATTTTCTCATCAAAATTACCAGCTTACCTTCCACAGCTGCTAATGACTAGTCAGTCATTCCTTGTTTATTGCTACAAGCAGAGTCAGTTCTTTTTTTTTTTTGAGATTGACCTGACATTGGATTGCTCCATCACAGAAAAGCCACCTGGGACTTTGGCTGCCCCTACAGCCAAATAACTTGCATGAAACAAGAAATACTGATTTGTAGAGAAGCTATCATGGTCCAATCCTGGTTTCTGATCTATCTTTCTTTCTTTCTTTTCTTTCTTTCTTTCTTTCTTTCTTTCTTTCTTTCTTTCTTTCTTTCTTTCTTTCTTTCTTTCTTTTATTTTCCTTTTTTTTCTTTTTTCTTTTTCTTTTTCTTTTTTTTCTTTTTTGAGACAGGGTCTCCCTGTAGCCCCAGCTGTCTTGGAACTCACTATGTAGACCAGGCTGGCTTTGAACTCAAAGAGATCTGCCTGCCTCTGCCTCCCAAGTGCTGGTATTAAAGGCATGCGCCACCACGCATGGCTTCTGATTTCTTTCTACAGTAAAGCTTCAGACACTTCACTTGATCTTAGCCAAAAGGCTGAGACTCTATTAGCCTGAAACATAGGAAAGTGTGTGAGCCAAGCACCTAGAACTAGGCTCCTGGGTTCTGTGACTTCCAGTCTCTCCTGGAGCATTTGTAAGTCTTCTCAGTTTCCTGTGAAATTAGGTTAACTCCTGGATGATGGGACCAGGTCTGAACTGATTATATTTAAAGATATGACCTATACCCCAGGAGGCAATCCGTTCAGTTAATTCACTGATTGACTACTAATAAGAGGATACAAATTTATTCCTTGTACCTGGCATTACTACTGAGAAATTGATACATGAAATTTCTAAGTGGCATTTTGTATTTGGAAGTATCAGGTACTAGGAAGAAGAACTGTTTTTTTAACCAGAAGAAAAATCTTTAAATAGAACATAACTTAGGCTTCTATTATAGAAACTAAAACTTTAAGATTCTAGTTTATGAGATTGTCTATAGCAATAAAAGTATACATTATGTATTCAGAGGTCAGACTTTGTTATGTTGTCACAGAAAGACACCAGATGACAGCAAGAAGTCACAGCTCCTTCAAGAGATTATAAAACAAGGGATTATAAAACAAGCCCAAAGAAGACACATTCCCCAGAAAAGCTTTGTGAGGGTCCCAGAACTGCCAGCTGAGCTGGTTGGTGAATATCTTCCCCTGTACAAAGTCAGGTTATGAATATGTAAAAGGTAGCTATTTTTTCAAATTGCCAAATATTAGTAAAAAGTAAAGCAGATGAAGAAACAAAATATGGCTCAAAGGAATACATTAAAGCTATTGAAAAACCAATCCTAAAGAAGTAGACATATGAATCACCTAACAAAGATTTCACATTTATAATCTTGAGGAAGCCCAGTGAGCAGAAGAGAACAGAGATGAAAACTAAATGGAATGGGGAAGATAGTATATGAACAAATAGTACCAATGAAGAGAAACTTTCAAAAACAAGTTCTTGGGACTAGAGAGATGGCTCAGCAGTTAAGAGTACTGGCTGCACTTGCAGAGGACCCATGTTTGAATCCAAGTACCCACATGGCAGCTAATAACTGCCTGTAACTCCAGTTCTGGGGGATCTGATGGGCTCTTCTGACCAAGGGCACTGCATGACATGAGTGCGCTTACACACGTGTGTGAGTGTAGTATACTCGTGCATAAAATAATTTCCTTTAAAAGCAAGTTGTTGAAGACAACAACTGAAATAAAAGAATTCACCAGAAGAATTGAGCATCAGGTATGACCAAGCAGGCAGAATTGGTGAATTTAAAGGATGGGTTAGTTGAAATTATTAAGAACAAAAAGAAAATTGAAGAAAGTCTGAGTCTTGTGGGACACCATTAAGCTTTAATTCCCAATATGTACAGATCATGGAAATTTTAGAAAAGCTGAGCATGCTGGCCCACAGCAGGACTACTGTACATTTGAGGCACAGTGAAACCTTTTCTCAAAAACAGAAATCAAAAACAAAAAAGTGGGGCAGAGAGCATATTTGAAAAAATGATAGCCCCAAACTTACAAATCTGAGAAAGAAAATAGATTCAAGTCCAAGGAGCTCAAAGGCCTCTAACTTGAATGTACTAAGAGGCCCATGTTGAGATGCATTATAATCACATTGCCACATATGAAGAATATTGAAGACAAAAGAACTTCATGTTGAAGGGACCTTCCATAAGATTACCAGTGTTTGCAGTGAGTGCTTTGATATGTTCAAAGTGCTGAAAGGAAAAACTGCCAATCAAGCATCCCATATCTGGCAAAAACTATCCTTTAAAAATCAAAGAGAAAAAGATCTTTCTAGATAAAGGCTGAGGGAGTTCATTGCTGCTGGACATACCTTACAAGTAATAGTAAAAGGAATCCTAAAAATTAAAGTGAAAAGTGCTAGATAGCAATATGAAGATACAGGAATGGAAAATTGCTATGACAACTATCCAGTGGGTACAAATTATGGAAAGATTTAATTGTGACATGAATAACAAGAAGAGGAAAGTGCAAAGAAATAGAGCTCTTCAATGACTAAGGTAAAATGGTCATCAATTTAAAATAGTGGATAGCTATAAAATATGTAATTCCCTATGATAATCACAAAATACCCGTGGAAGACACACACTCTTTATACTCTTTAACAACCAGTGAGTAGAAAAGGAGATCAGAAACCATCTGAGAGTGGAAACAGTGTACTAAGTGTGTGATACAGCAAAAGCAATAGCAAGGGCGGTTATCAGAAAGGCCTTCATTAAAGAGATGTCAGACCAACAGTCTAATCTTATGCCTCATCTTAGTCTGTTTTCTGGTGCTAGGAGAGCTTCAGACTACATAAATTTCCACAAGAGGAATAATGGAAGACAGCGGCCATGCAGTGAAAGACTCAGCTTTTCTAATCAAACCACTCCTGAGGCAACCCACTCAGACGGCAATGCCATTCATCCATCATGAGAGTGGAGGCTTCATGACCCAGTCACCTCTCAAAGGTTCCATCTTCCAAAACTGTTGCAGTGGTGAATAAATTTGAATATGAGTTTGGGAGATGATACCATAGTACATGTCTAGGAACTAGAAGGGACACTTAAGGCCCAAGTTAGCAAAATGAAGAGCAAAAATACTGGATTTTTTTTTTGTGTGTGTGTGTGTTTTTGAGACAGGGTCTCCCTGTAGCCTCAGCTGTCCTGGAACTCATTGTGTAGACCAGGCTGGCCTTGAAATCACAGAGATCCACCTGCCTCTGCTTCCAGAGTACTGGGATTAAAGGCATGCACCACCATGCCTGGCTAAAATATTAGATTTTTTTAAAAAATATAATAAATTGGCAATGGGGCAAGAGTGAAACTATGAGCTGGGTTTTTGAAAATATCAAAACTGACAAACTCTTACCTAGATTAACGAAAGGAGAATAAAAAATCAGAAATGAAAGAGGAGACGTTACACTCCACAGAAGTGAAAAGATCACCAAGAAATTAGACATCTTAAAAAATTAGATAACATTTAAGAAATGAAAAGTCTTAGAAACATAGAACCTGTGAAGACTGAATCATGAAGACAAAAAATATGAACAAACTTTAACTAGTAAGGAGACTGAATTGATAATCAAAAAACCTCTCAACGAAGGAAGTCCCAAGATACGATGGCCTCACTTGAAAATTCTATCAAATATTAGAAGAATAAATAACCTTGAGCCAAGGAGATGGCTCAGCAGGTAAAGAGCTTGTTGGTTAGGTATGAGGATGGGAATTCAGACCCTAGCACCTATGTAAATGTCAGCTGCAGGATGGGCATGGCAACCTACTTGTTTCCAGCCTGTAAGAGGCAGAGGCAGCAAGCTGGCTAGCCAGACTAGTGTAAACAATGAGCTCTGGGTTTATTGAGAACAATCAAGGAAAATATCCAAAGCCAACTTCAGGTCACATGCATATACACATACATGCACACGTAACATACACACATGTAAAAAAGAATAATCTTCAAACACTTCTAAAACACCAAAGAAGAGGGAACATTCTCAATCTCATTTTATGAGACCAGCATCACTCCAATACCAACACCAAAGATATAAGAAAGCTATAAACCAATTACTACTGCTGGTGAACATTAATGCAAAAATCTTGAACAAAATATTAGCACACTGAATTCAATCTCACATTAAAAAGTGTATACACCATGAACAAGTGGAATTTATCATTGAAATGCAAGGATACTTCAACATGCAAAATCAGTCAATGTTTAATATATTGATGTAGGGCAGCTCAAGTGAGGTGAACCTCTTTGTTTCAAGTTCTCAATGATAGAAGACTTTATAGATGGAGACAAGGCTAACAAGCAAGAGGTTCATTGAGAAGAGGAAGTGCTTGAGAAAGTGAAGGTATGCACAGTGAGGAGCTGTGCAGGCAACCTCATGGACCAGGACCACACTGGAAATTGTTGATGTGGTTTCTATTGGCTCAGATGTCGATGAGGTGAATATTTAGTGGGAATCATTTGACTAGCTCCACCTTTTATGTTAAGTTACAACTAATTGTATAATCCTACTTTGGGCATAATACTGTGTCTCCCAGTTTATCGTGGTCATTATAACATGCATATTGCTGATCTGAAGCTACAGGACTTACACACTACAGGACTTACACACTGATTGAGCGCCACCAGTGGAAGGGCGTGTACCAGTCCCTTGGTGAGGCTGGCATCAGGGAACTGTATATGCTCAGGGGTTTGGTTGTTAACAAAGATTAACATCAGGGAGATGGAGTCTCTTTTCTAATTAGATGAGAGGGAGAGTGATTTGTCTTCATTTTATGTAAAGTGAGGAGGAATAGTATAATAGGGGAGTTAGTCACAGCCCCTAATTTCTAACTTTCTGCCTGGCGACCCTTTCGCAGTATCACATTGAAAAAAAGAAAGAAACCCTAAGATGATTTCAGTCAGCGCAGAGTAGTTGACAAAAGTCAATACCCTTTCATGATTAAAAACACACTCACTCACTCACTCACCAAACTAGGGATAGAGAGAAATTACTTAATCATGATAAAAGTCATATATGGAAAACCCAAGCTAACATCACACTCAAAGCTGAAAACTTTTCCTCTAAGATCAGAAACAAGGCAAGGATTCCACACTTCTACAGCGTCTATTCAACATAGTCCTGCATAACCAGTGCAGTTAGGTACAAAATATAAAAGATGTCCAAACTGAAAAGGAAAAAGTGTGTATCTATTCATGGTGACAAAAGACCCTGTAAAAATGTTTAGAACCAGTCAACACATAAAAGTTGCAGTATGTGAAACTAGCACTCAAAAACCAATTGCATTTCTGTATTTCAATAACAAACTATTTGAAGCAGACATTAAAAGCAATGCCAGCTGGGGACAGAGCTCAGTGGTAAGTACATGTTTAGCATGCTTGAAGCCTGGGTCATTACCAAGAGGGGTGAGATGGGAAAATATTAATTCCACTTATAATAATATCAAGCGGAATAAAATACTTAGTGATAAGTTTAACCAAGGGAATAAAAGGATGAAAGACTTGTATACTTTATACCACAATAGAAAGACACAAATAAATGGAAAATATCCCACATTCATGAATTGGAAGCCTTTAATAGAATTAAATGTCACATTGCATAAAGCAGTCTACAGATGCATTACAGTCCTTATCAGAATCTCAGTAGCATTTTTTGTAAAAATGGGGGAAAAAATCTCAAGTTCACACATAATCTCAAAACAGAGTCAAAATATTCTCAAGCTATGGCGATAAAGCTACTTGTACTGGCATTAAGGTGGCCATAAGACCAATGGGATAGAACAGTGCAGAAACAGACCTCTACAAACACAGTTAAATGATACACAATGGGGAACAACTAGTCTCTTCAAGAATTTTTTTTGGAAATGATATCCACATGCAAAAGAATGAAGTTGGAGTTTTGCAATAGGCCACATAAAAAGTTAACTCTAAATGGATTAAATAGGCAAATGCGATTGTAATAAACTTAAAAGCATCTGTACAGCAAAGGAACCAACAGAGGAAAAGGGAGAAAATGTAAACTATGCATCTGATAAGGAGTAAATGCATTATAGGACTGGGGTTATATTCAGTTGGTACAATGCTTACCTGCCATGCATGAGGCCCTGGGTTTGATCCTCAGCACTGCATAAATCAGGCATGGTGACATTGGCCTGTAATCCGAGCTGCAGGAGAACAAGAAGTTCAGGGTCATCCTCAGTGACACAGTGAGTTTGAGGCCAGCCTGAACTACATGAGACGCTTTCTAAAATCCATGCAGGTGTACTGGTGGTGAATGCCTTAATCCCAATAGTTGGAAGGCAGAAACAGACTGAGTTTGAGGCCAGCCTGGTCTACATAGTGAGTTCCAGGCCTGCCTATGCTGCATAGTGAGACCCTGTCTAAAAATAAAAAATCCAGCATATGTAAAGAACTGAAACTCAATAATAAACCTATAAACCTAGCAATTTTTTTTTTTTTTGGTCTTTTTGAGACAGGGTCTCCCTGTAGCCCCAGCTGGCCTGGAGCTCACTATTGTAAACCAGGCTGGCCTTGAACTCAGAAATCTGCCTGCCTCTGCCTCCCAAGTGCTGGTATTAAAGGTGTGCACTTCTTCAAAGAATATATAGAAATGACCAATAGGTATATGAAAGGATGCAAAACATCAATAGTCATCAGGAAAATGCACATCAAAACTACAATGAGATATTACTGAAAACTTACTAGAACACCAGAAGTTAACAAGTTTTGGTGAGGATATAGAGAAATTGGGATGCTGTGCACTATTGGTGAGAATGTAAGAGGTATAGCTACTATGGACATAGTATAGAAGGTCCCCCCAATTTTTTAAACTGCTATAGATTCAGCAATTCCCATTTCTGGGTATATATCCAAAAGAATACCTAGAGCTATTTGTGTGCCCATATTCACTGCAGCATCATTTACAGTGACCAAGATGTGGAAGCATCTTGACAGGATGTAGAATCACCTAGATTATCTAGAATGTTAATTGAGGCAGGAAGACTCATCTTAACTGTGGGCAGCACCATAGCACCATTCCCTGGACTGAGGTCCTAGACTGAATAAAGAGGAGGAAGCTAGCTGAGCACAAGCATTCTTCATCTGTTTCCTGATGATGGATGCAACTCAACCACTGCCTCCAGCTCCTGCCACCACAGCTTCCTCGCTATGATGAACTGTACCCTCCAACTACAAACCAAAATAAACCCTTCCTAAAATGCTTTTGTCAGGTGTCACCATTGTATTAACATTACTCATACCAATCCAATGGGTCAAGAGATTGTGCACTATATGCCAAGTGTGATGGCTCACATTTGTAATCTCAGTCCTCAGTTGAAGCAGGAAAATCAGGATTTTTAAGGCCAGCCTGGGCTACATGAGACTGTCTCAAAAATGAAACAAAATGAATTGTATTATAAGCATACAATGTAGTGTTATTATTCAGCCTTAAAAGGAAATTTGGGCCAGGCATGATGGTGCATGCCTTTAATCTCAACACTCAGGAGGTAGAGGCAGGCAGATCTCTGTGAGATCGAGGCCAGCCTGGTCTACATAGTTCCAGACCAGCTGGGGCTACAGGGAAGACCCTATCTCAAACAAACAAAAAAAAAATAGAAATTTTATAAGCTATAACATGGATGAAGACATTATAAGCACAAAATGATAATGCTGCACGATCATATTTACAGGAGGTAGTAGCCAAAAAGGAAATAGTAAAACGGTAATTGCCAGGAGTTGTGGGGAAGGGGATATGAAGTTTCAGTTTTGCAAAGATTCGAAGGTTCTAGATCTCTGTTGTTTAACAACGTACATAAAATTAAACATCCTATGCACTTAAAATGGTTAAGATGGTAAATTTTGTTAGATACTAATTTTTTTACATGATTAAGAAATCAGCAACTGTCTGCCCAGAAAATAGACACCCCTCCAAAAAAAATTAGTCCACAATGTGTTGCACATTACCTTGTGACATTTAACAGTTGCAATGATCCAAGGTTAATATGGCATGATTAGAGAAGCAGATCTTATGTTTAAGAACTCAGGAAAAGGTATAATACAGGGCTGGAGAGATGGCTCAGGTATTAAAGAGCACTGGATCCCAGCACCCACATGGCAGCTAACAACCATCTGTAACTTCAGTTTCAGGGAATCTGATGCCTTCTGACCTCCACAGGCATTGCAAGGCACAGGTGGACTTACATGCAGGCAATATGCTCATACACATAAAATAAAAATATTTTCAAAAAATGAATGATACATATAACAATGTTTTCATTAATTAAATTTTAATCTAGTTTTAGACTTTTGGAAAAGGGAGGTGCTTTAGTTTCTGGAAAATGCACTCAGGAAGAACATTTTATCCCTAGTAAGGCTGGATAAATGGCACTCCATTGAATGCCTTATTTCTGAAGTATAAAGGTACTGTCCAGCTTCCACTTGCAAAAGCTAAAACAAAAGAACTTCAGAGATCACTGGGGAAAGTGACAGCATGAGCATGTATTTATGTGTGTATGTGTTTGTTCATTCCCCAGAGAATTAATACATGAGACTCAGTACTCCAGACCCCGGGCTGTATCATTTGATGCATCAGTTTCTGCTCAAAATGAGAAGTTAAAGGTGGGCATCATTGGAGGTGGCCACCTTGGGAAGCAACTGGCTTGTGCACTGCTGAGACTTGTCCCCATCCCTGCTGAGAGCCTTCGGATCTCCACTCGGAGGCCAGAGGCCCTGGGTGAGGAGCAGCTTGTGTTATGCAATGGGTATGGTGCTGGGTTTGTCAACACAGCCACTTTGAAAGGTCCTAGCAAAGAGGAATACCTGTGTCCAGCAAGCACAGTTCTTAGTTGGTGGGCTTAAATTTTAAGGAGTTGCTTAAAACAACTCTTTTATCAACTTACTTATTTTTATTTTTTAAATATTTATTGATATTTATATGTGTATGAGTGGTGTCATGTCTGTATGCATGTAAGAGCACCCATGTCATGAGATGCCTACAGAGGTCAGAAGAGGGCATTGGATCCCCTGGAACCTGAGTTGTTAGCCACCATGTGGGTGCTGGGAATTGAACCCCGGTCCTCTGCAAGAACAGCCAGTGCTTTTAACTGCTAAGTCATCTCTCCAGCCCCATAAATTGGCTTCTTTTTTAAAAAAATATTTTATTTTTTTAATTTTATGTGTATGTGTGTATTGCCTGCATATAGGTAAGTGTACCCATGTCGTGCAATGCCCACAAAGGATAGAAGAGGCTGTTGGATCCCCTGGAACTGGAGTTACCAACAGTTGTTACCTGCCATGTGGGTGCTGGGATTCGAACCTGTGTCTTATGCAAGAACAACCAGTGTTCTTAACCACTGAGCCATCTCTCCAACCCCTAAATTGACTTCTTAAAGAAACCAAATACATTTATTCCAAATTGACATAAAAATTCAGGTTTGAATTTTTATCAGCATTGTGTAAAAATACCCATTTCATTATACCCTTTTTTTTTTATGTGTATGAGTGTATTGCCTGTATGTAAGTGCACCTGCGTCATGCAATGCCCAAGGAGGTCAGAAGAAGACATTGCCCCTGGAACTGGAGTTATGGACAGTTGTTAGCTGCCATGTGAGTGCTGGAATCGAACCCAGGTCCTCGGCAAGAACAGCTGATGCTCTTAACTACTAAGCCATCTCTCCAGCCCCTCAAATTCTGTTTTTCAGTAACACTGAAAGCATATTACCAAATGAAAGTATACATTCTAAATTCTTAATTTTGAAAATCCATGTTGTGGCAAGTATAATCAAGTAATTAACTACTTGTGTGTTTTATGCAGTTGGATGAGTTCTATTTCTCTACATTTATGAATATTCTATCGTGTATACTTTACAACAATTACATCTTCCAAACTCCTCTCAGTCTCTGCTACATACCCTTTCACTCTGCTAATCTTTCCAACTCAAGCTAATGAGCTATATAACTTTCAATTGAGTCCAACAGCATTCTGAAGCCTCAGTTTGCTCATCTGTAATATGGGAATCATCCGAATCTGTCTCAGAAGCTCCAAGTGAGGATCCCCTTTAACCAATATACATCAGGCACCTTGCATGTTATCTGGCACATGATAAATCTTCAGGAAATTGAAGCAGAAGGCTTCCTAGATAATTTTTTTTTGGTCTTTTTGAGACAGGGTCTTCCTGTAGCCACAACTCTCTATGGAGACCAGGCTGGCCTCTGCCTCCTGAGTGCTGGGATTAAAGGCGTGTGCCACCTCGCCCAACTAAGAATTTTTTTTCTAGCTTAAAATTTTAAAATAAATCCTAGCATTTGTTCTAAAAGAAAGTTAAAAAAGAATTATACTACAACCTCAAGTTCTGTTGCTGTGGCACTAGCTGCTTTAGTAAAGGGGTGACGACCTGGGTACATAGCTCTTAGAGGCTCACAGGAATATCTTTGATTCATGTGGCAATGTGACTTGGGTTGCTTACTGAGATAAAATAGTGACCATCCTCTCCCATGGTTGATGTTCGGGACAAACTCCTTTGTACTTTCTATCTTCCTTTACCCTTCCCAGGTGAGATCCAGAAGCTGGGGGTCCAGTGCTTTTACGATAACCCTAGTCTGGTGAATTGGGCCAACGTGGTATTCCTCTGCTGCTTGCCATCCCAGCTGCCTAATATCTGCCTAGAAATTCAAGCCAGCCTTGAGAAGACCTGCACTGTGTACAGCTTTGTGTCTGCCATCCCACTACCCAGGTATCTTGTTCGGGGGGGAAAACTGGTGGAGCCACTGTCTCCTCATCTCTGACTTTCGTCTCCTTCACCATAGCCCCTACTTCTTGGAGTTAGTCATTCCCAGTAACAGAGAGGAGGCAGTTTGACCTGCAGAAGGACCCAGCCATCCTTTTTAACCCCAGTTTTGCACACACACACTTGTGGTCAGAATGTTTTCTCTGTTGTACAAATGTTTAGAACTGTAAGGACATATTGTTTCCCAGTACTTGTTTCCTGCTCTATGTGTTAGTGAGAAACCACCAGACAACATGAAAACTTGTGAAAATATGTGTTACATGTTACTTTTGAATTCTTGTGACTGGCCAAGTGATAGCCACATGATAACATTCAGTAGTGTTAGGTGAAGGGTTGAGTAGTCCAGTTAATTAGTGCCCTTAGTGCACACACAGGTGCACATTTTGCCTGAGCAGTGCTGTGCAGGAGGGTCTGTTGCTTGGCTGGATGTAAATGCAATAGCTTGTGTAGTCGTTTATTCCACTCCTGCCATGCACTCCCTGTCTTGGCTTCCAGGTTGAAAACACTAATGAACCACACCAATGTCTTGCGGCCCTATTATCACTGTGTTCAAGATCTTGACAACATCTGGGGGGCCAATAAAGAAATCGTAGCTGCTCTCCAAGATCCTGTGATTCTTCAGGCTACCTGTCCCTACAGTAATTCTGGTAATCATTCAGTTATTTGACTATTTCTGGCATTCTTTTAAAAATTACTTTCCTCCTGACTGGTTGCTATCTATCTTATGAAATCTGTGTGTGTGTGTGTGTGTGTGTGTGTGTGTGTGTGTGTGTGTGTGTGTCTGTTGGAAAAGCATAAGGCAGATATATTCTTAGTCATTTGAGTTTGGCATTCAAAATGTTTCATAGTTCAAAGCAACATTTATTGGGCAGAGCTGAGAAGCCTAATTTTTTTAATCCTTGTTTGAACTAGAAACAACTGGAAGACATAGTTGATACAAACAAGAGAATGAACTGACCTTAGTGGTACATGCCTATAATCGCAGCTTTTGAGAGATGGAGACTGCAGGAGTTCAACACTATCTTTGGCTGCATAAGTTCGAGACCAGTCAGAGCTACACGAGACACTGTCTCAAAAAACTAAACTAAAAACAACAAAAAATGGGTGAATACAATGTCTAGGTCTAAGGTGGGAATCTTGTAATTTCCCCAATTTTTTCCTTTATTGGCAAGGACCATTCTGGAGATCATTTTGGCATTAACAGTGTCTACCTTAGTCTGACTTGTTCTCCTTCAGTGTGATCAATATAAATGTTGTAAAGGGCAAACAGGGCTCTTGGCCAAGGAGGGAGGAGTGTTTATTCATCTCAAGGTCCACATTGCCAATCAGCTTAGGGGGAAAGGTGATTTTACAGTCACCCTGTGGGGTTCTTCTATGTTCCCTTCAGCTCCTTTTTGCCGGTGCTAACTGTTACCCTCCCTTCTCGTGGATGTACAGGAGGAGTCACTCTCAGTATCAAATGGCTGGAGGGCTTGTTCTATGCAGCCATCAACGCCTGCACAGCAAGAAATGTGTTCCGCTCAGAAGTGCTGCAGCTTCTGAACAAACTATTTCTCTCTGTGCACTTAGAAAGCTGTGAGAAAGATAACGCATCTTGCCCCACATTTCAGTTATCAGATTTTATGAACAAAGCCTATGTCAAGAACTTGTTTCACAAAAGGTAAGATGTCAAACAGCTGCCATTCTGATTTGTCCCATGCTCTTGTCTTAACAGATGCTTTTTCTTTTTTACATTTATTTATTTTGTTGAGGGGAAGACATACAATTCAGCAGTGTGTGGAGGTCAGAGGGAAACCTGTGGGAGTTATCTCCTTCCACCATGTAGGTTTGGGGGATCGAACTCAGGTTATCAGGCTTGGCAGCAAGCTCCTTTACCCACTAAGCCATATCATTGACCCCACAGATGCTTTTTTTCTTTCATCCTTTCATATTCTTCCCCCATCATCTCTTCCTCAACTAGCAACAAGCAGTTGCCAACATTCATTTAGATAAGATTGGGGTGTGCTGTTCATTTTCCCAGTTCCATGCTGGGTTACTATCTAGGAGTCTCTTGGGCCACCCTGGCCAACAACTCAAAGGAAAGTATCTCCTGTCTGGCATTGTTTCTTGTTATGTAGCCTTTAGCTATATACATGGACTCTTAAAGAAATATGCTGATCACTTTAATCTTTGGTTATACTTTCCTTTTGGGTGTTTAAGAATATTCAGTTGGCCCAAATAAACCAATTTATTTTTACTCTTAAGGTTGAGGATTTGCTCCTCAGAGGTCACATGAGCTTGGTAGGAGCCCCTGGCTCCCACTCTTTTTTTTACCAGTTCCATCTATGTGAAGATAAGTCAAAGGTCCTGCTCAACTGTGGCTGGCTTCACTTGGAAGCATGGAGGAAATGTTTCCTCTGTGTTGACCCTCCTCTTTGTAAACTGGACACTGGTTCAAGTCCATCTGGTGGGATCTCCATGGCCTCCTTGATCAAGAGGACAGGTGATTCACCACAGTTACAGGACATTTTGAGCGATGTTCCATAGTCTCCTGGAACTTAGTTGACATTGGAGGGCAAGAAATAAAAACTGTCCTTTAAGTCCCTGTGACCAGATTAATATAGGCCTCAAAGTATGGCTGTTAAACATCCAATAAGGTTAGTTCCACCAGCCTGGTACTTCTAATTACCATGCACTATGTAGATAAAGCTTAGGCAAAAAACAAACGTTCTGAGATAAACCTTGACTAGACATGTATTTTGTTCCTTGAACTAGTTGTACGTATAATTTGTCAGTACATTGTTGGACTAATGTGGTTCCCTCTGTTTTTTTTAAAAACTAGCTAGGCGTTATTTATCTCTCTCACTGTATAACCCTTCCACCATGGTTTCCCCATTTTCCTCATTTCTCCCTTAATAATACCCTTCTCCTATGGTCCCACCTCTCTTGAGATCCTTCTTTCCCTTTATCCACAAGGTTCCTTGTATAACCCTCCCCGCCATTAAAATAATCCTATTTTTATCCATATCTCTCTTAGTAACACCTGTTTCCTACTGTTCTTCTCTCTAAGGTTCTTTCTTTTCCTTTACCTCCCTGGTTGCTTTTCATTATCCTGGTTCCTACAGTTATGTCTGGATATATATATACTCACTTATAAGGATTTGGTGCTAGGATCCACATATGAGGGAGAACATATGTTGTTTGTTTTTCTGAGTCTGTGCTACTTCACTTAATATAACAGTCTCTAGATCCATCCATTTACCTGCAAATTTCATGATTTCATCTTTCTTTACTGCTGAGTAAAACTCCATCGTATAAATGAACCACTTTTTCATTATCCACTTGAGGGACACTTAGGTTGCTTCCATCTCTTAGCTATTGTGAAAAGAACAGCAATA